GGACGTCAATAACGGGCACGCAAAAAGAACATAAAAAATTACAGGTATTTACTCGAAATGATCGCAGGAAAGCATCGCATTGGTCGATTATCGGGAACCTATTTGGGTAATCCGCTGTGGCCGGCCGCATTCTGGCTAGCAACCTTGTAACTGCTCAATACCAAGTTCATTGAGTTTTTGTTTTGTTGCCGATAGGCAGTGAGCAATCAAACCATCAAAAGTAATTTACGACCGCTGATCGAAAGCGATTTCTAGTCGTCAATGATGACAACTGAAGTTGGAGCATGTCGTATTCTGGAAATGTGGAGTAATTATTAGCCATTGATGAGCAACAAATTATCTGCGTACTGGCCAGTTCGAATCACATAGTAATGGACAAAAATGTGCGGCAAGAAAAACTGATGAGCTGCTTATGAATGCATGAAACCCAACATGTTCGTTGTTGACAACATAACTGTGAGATGCCAAGAGTTGGAGATGAAATATAAGTGAAACTTCTCCCGGTTACTCTATTTCTTCGCTGAACAACTTTATTCTTAAGCAAACATGAAGTGAATGCTGACGATAAGGAATTAAAGGCAGAAATGAAACATTGCAAAAAAGAATACTGCGATCACAGCATATCGTTTAAAATCACTATTTTTTGCATCCATAAACGAATCGCAATTTTCTCTTGCTTAACCAAACTAAACCCCAAACAACTCACAATATGCTCTTTCAATCCCTCCACCCACTTTGCGAAATCTCCGAAATAAAAGTTCCTTGCTGGAATCAATTTAAATAATGATCTGGGGACATATCACCAGTGTGTGATTAGTGCTATTTCTACAAAAAAAAAGGTTCGAAATTCTAATGAACAAATTTTGATACACACGGAAAGAGCTAATTAAAAATGTTATCGCCTGCACTAACTGTTTTCCTTTGAAGGATTACTCGTTTGAATCGACGTTCAATAACTACAACATGGTGAATTTCCAGCGAAACATTTCTGATGTTTTAGAGAGCAGAACTAAGAAAAGTTCCGTTGAAAGAGTAGAGTAGACGAAATTTGCACTGAAAAGTGACATAGCATTTGCTGTATAAAATTATCACGATAATGATAATGAGGCATTATTATCTGATGGATACTTGCCTTTCTAAAACACGAACAATTAATAAGAACGCAGACAAGACTTCTTCGAGAAATCGATAAACATAATTGCTAAGGAACGTGCACAACCCTTTTCGTACGCAAACGCAGATGGAATATGCATTGTCACGACGCACATTATATCTTTATCAACAAATCAGGTTTTCACGCCTAAACTGCGTGTTGATTACATGACATGCTGATAAATCGATAGCTACATACACATCGTAAACTCGTCATTTGCTCGCAGAATCACAACTGATACTTCGCGGTTAAACCGCATCAGATCACAACATTGAAGCACTAAGTTTTTGCTGTCAATGAAGATCCTTAAACCACGGTATCATTTCAAGTGAACTTTTCTATTACAGTGATTAGGCAGCGTGGAATCTTAGTTTCAACTGCTGATTTATCCGTACAAACAAGAGATAAATAAACATTAGAACAATTATTGTGCAATTTCATAGGGGTGGTTAAACAGTGCGGAAATCATGTCCAACCTTTTCCTAGATTTATGAAAACAAATTGGTTAGGAATGATCAGAATAGGCAGAATTTGGAGATCGATTGCTCGTAAACTTGGT